CACCGCCTGGTTCGTCAGGCTCTGGTAGCGGATCTTGTCGCACGCATCGGACGAGTTGCTGATCAATTCACGCAGGAAAATTTCCTTGTTGGAATAGAAGGTATTAATTATGAGAGACATTAGCTGATTAATCTCAGCCTGGAATGCGAATGTCTCGGTCATCCTTGCGAGTTTCTTGTTCTTAGGGTCTCTAACACGTGTGTGTGTGTGTGTGTATGCCTGTCTTTCTTGTGTATGCCTTACGCGAAATGCTGATGTTGTCGTGTTACGAAAGTCGTGCTTATCTTCTGGTGGTAATACAGAGAAAAAGAAATGCGAGAGGAAAGGGAGAAGGATATACAAAGAGAAAGAAAAAAAAACGCGGAGTGTGTGGCGCACAGTTGCGGCGGCAGCAGCAGTGGTGAGAGGGAACCCCCTTTCTGCCCTCCACCAGGCATCCACCCTGTTCCCTTCTTTTTATTCCCTTACCGAACCAAATAATAATAATAATAATAATAATAATAATAATAATAATAATAATAATAATAATAATAATAATAGTGTGGGTGGAAAAGAACTTCCTGTTAGGAAAGCCCAGTGCATCACAGAATAGGAGAAAGCAGGGCACAAAAGAAAAAGAAAAAGAAAGAAGGAAGGAAGGTCCACGGCAAATGCAGCACCTCTAGTCAACCAGCTCCATGCTCGATGTGCCAGCAACGGGCTCAGCGGGAACGGCGGCAGCGGGCTCCGCTTCCTCATTGCCGTTGTCTTCGTCGTCCAGCGAGAGGCCAAGCTTGATCATGCGGTGGATGCGTTCGGCGTACGACGTGGGATCGTCCAGCGTGAAACCAGACGTCAGCAGCGCGGTGTCAAAGAGCAGGTACACAAGGTCCTTCACGGCCTTGTCGTTCTCGTCCGCCTCCACGCGGCGTTTGAGCTCCTTCACAATGGGGTGAGCCGGGTTGATCTCCATCGTCTTCTTGGACATCATGTACGCAGACATGCTCGAGTCGCGCAGCGCCTGGTTGCGCATGATCTGCTCCATGTGTGCGCTCCACCCGAACTCCGACGTCACAAGGATGCACGGCGACGTCGCCAGGCGCTCCGACACCACCACCTTCTCCACCTTGTCGCCAAGCACATCCTTCATCGCCTTGCAGAGACGCTCGTACGCCGTCTTCTCCTCCTCCCGCTGCTTCTTCTCCTCCTCCGTCTCCTCAAAGTGCACGCCCTCCTTCGTCAGGCACGCGAACTTCTTGTCCTCAAAGTCCTTCACCTGCTGCATCACGTACTCATCGATCGGTTCCGTCATGAACAGCACCTCAAAGCCGCGGCGCCTCGCCTGCTCAATGAACGGCGAGGTCTCCAGCTTCTTCTTGCTGTCGCCCGTCACGTAGTAGATGCACTTCTGGCCCTCCTTCATGCGGGTGACGTAGTCCTTCAAGGTCGTCATGTCCTCCCCGGACTCCGAGCTGTGGAAGCGCAGCAGCTCCATCAGCTTCTTGCGGTTCGCGCTGTCCTCGTGGATGCCAAGCTTGACGTTCTTGCCAAACTGCTCATAGAACTTCTTGTAGTCTTCCTTGTTCTCGGCAATCTCCTCAAAGAGCTCCAGCGCCTTCTTCACAATGTTCTTCCGGATCACCTTAAGAATCTTATTCTGCTGCAGGTTCTCACGCGAAATGTTCAGCGGCAGGTCCTCACTGTCCACCACACCGCGCACGAAGGCAAGCCACTCGGGGCACAGGTCCTCGCAGTTGTCCATGATGAACACGCGGCGCACGTACAGCTTGATGTTGTTGCGCTTCTTGCTGGGCTCAAACATGTCAAACGGCGCGCGCTTCGGCACGAACAGAATTGCGCGGAACTCCAGCTGGCCCTCCACAGAGAAGTGCTTCGTCGACAGCGGCTCCTCCCAGTCGTTCGAGATGGCCTTGTAGAAGGCAGCGTACTCCTCCTTCGTCACATCCTTCGGGTCGCGCGTCCAGAGAGGCTTGTGCTTGTTCTGCACCACAAACTCCTGCGTCACCTCCTTGACCTTCTTCGTCTTCTTCTTCTTCTCCCCCTCCTCCGCGTCGTCCTTCACCTCCTCCACCTTCGGCTCCTCACCCTCCTCATTCTTCGCCGCAGCCGCCTCGTCCTCATCCTCGTCGGTCACCTCCTTCTCCGTCGCCTTCTCCACCATCAGCTCAATGTCATAACCGATGAACTCCGAGTGCTTCTTGATGAGATCCTTCAGACGGCGCTCCTCCAGGTACTCCTGCTGGTCCTCCTTCAGGTGCAAAACAATGCGGGTGCCGCGCTTCAGGTCACAGTCCGGCGTCGGCGTCACGGTGAAAGTGCCGCCAGCAGACGATTCCCACGTGTACGCCTCGTCGTCGTTGTTCTTCGACACAACCGTCACGCGGTCAGCCACAAGGTACGCCGAGTAGAAGCCCACACCGAACTGGCCAATCATGCTCATGTCACCACCGGCCTCCAGCGCCTCCATGAAGGCCTTTGTGCCGGACCGCGCGATCGTGCCCAGATTGTTCACAAGCTCCGCCTTCGTCATGCCAATACCGGTATCCTCCACCGTCAGCGTCTTGTTTGCCTTGTCGGGGATCACGCGGATACGAAGGTGGGACTCGTCACCCAGCACCGCCTGGTTCGTCAGGCTCTGGTAGCGGATCTTGTCGCACGCATCGGACGAGTTGCTGATCAATTCACGCAGGAAAATTTCCTTGTTGGAATAGAAGGTATTAATTATGAGAGACATTAGCTGATTAATCTCAGCCTGGAATGCGAATGTCTCGGTCATCCTTGCGAGTTTCTTGTTCTTAGGGTCTCTAACACGTGTGTGTGTGTGTGTGTGTGTGTATGCCTGTCTTTCTTGTGTATGCCTTACGCGAAATGCTAATGTTGTCGTGTTACGAAAGTCGTGCTTATCTTCTGGTGGCAATACAGAGAAAAAGAAATGCGAGAGGAAAGAAGTGGTTAATCTGCGTGTGTTTGGCTCTTTTTTTCAATTTTTTTGCTTTTCTGGCATAGAATCCGTTTTATGTTTTTGTACTTTGCGTGCATTTTTTTTTTTTCTTGCAACGTTTTTTTTTATTATTGTTCATATTGTTTATATATATATATATATATATATATATATATATATTCTTTGTGTGTTTTCGTGTTGATAAATTCTTGTTTTTGTTGGGTTTTGTTCATCTCTTTTTGTTTGCGTGGGGAATAGAAACCTGACGCGGATATGAGTACAATGACGACTGCTGGGTATTTTATTATAAGTACATGTACATAAGTTGAGCGTGAATGAATTGTAAATCTAGTGGTGGCACAAAAAAAAAAAAAAAAAAAAAAAATGATACAGAAAGGATGTTAGCGGAGATTCACAGCTGTTTATGTTAATAAAAAAATAAAATAGAAGATAGTACAAAAAAAAAAAAAAAAAAAAAAGAATTTATATTGATGGTCGGGGCCAGTTGTACATGAATCATTACGTCAAACTTCAACGAAATGTTTACAGAAAATGGGATGACATATGCAATTTCGCCAAAGACGTTATCGAAGTTCTTTTTCAAGTTGTGAGACGGGCGGCGGGGGCGTGGCACTTTTCGTGCGACGTTGTGGCGGATTCGGATCAAATACACGCCAAAACTTCAATGTCTCCTCCTGGGCGGCGCAAATGCGTTGCATGTCGGGGGCGAGTGTCGGACATAAAATAGCGGCCTCGCAATTTGGAGAGTTAAGTGTGCCTATAAGGTGAAAGCTGTTGGCGTGACGGATCTGGATATGCCCCTTCCCATGGTGGGTTGTTGCCACCTCGTCGACACCGGGTGGGGAAACGATACCGCTGATGGGGTGTAGAGTATTGATTGCCCGAGTGATGAAGTGGCCGCCCGTGGTGGGTCCTTCCTCGTCAATCCTTATAATAGGCGGAATATTTCTCATGGGCGCGTGTGTGTCCACGTGACACAGCATGCCATCCTGCCCACCAGTGTACATCTTGCTGCGTTTGTCGGGGTTCCACAGAATACTATTAACAGGACCGCGGTGAATACGATCAAAGGCGTAGCGAGGGCTGCTGTTGTGCCGCGCATCCCATACACGTACAGAGCCATCTGCAGAACCTGAAGCTAAGTAAAAAGGCTCCTCGGTACAGTAGTGAAGAGACGTGATACCGCTGGCGTGCCCTTCGTAGACGGAGATCAGTGCATGCTTGGCGCGAAGATCGAATATGTAAACCCCACCACATGATGTACTAGTGCCGATGGCGAGAAGGGGCCCATTCACTGCAAGGTATGTAAAAAACTCCTTGGGAGAAAGTCTTGTCCGCACTGTTCGTAAAAACTCTTCATTACGACAATCATAAATGGCGGTCACACCATCATCCAGTGTCAGTGCAACACATGCACACTTATGTAACCAATGCACGGCATGAATATGCATACTATCCTGTAGTTGTACCATCATTGAAGCTTGCGCCGTCTCCGAGTCCCATCCATAGAGAGAGTTCTTCAAACCAATTATAAGTTTATTATTACTACCCCAATGAAGGAGTTGCTTGGCATCTAATGGAAAATTTGGTGCATCCAGCACCCTTTCCGGGTTGGTAAAAAGTACCCGCTGTGGTACGGGTTTGCCAGGCATGAGGCGCTTTATCCGCGTATTCCTTACGGGTGAAGACGTAAAGAGTGACGGCGACCCTGCTCGGCTCCCACCTGTGCCAGCGTGACGTCCCCCTATTCCCCCGCCAGCATCACCACTTGAGGAGATACAGCCGCCATTGACAGTACTAGCAATACCCACAGGTTTCAAAGGAGCCCCACGGTTATAGACAGTGTCTGTGCTGTTAAAGCGCAGTACGCCTCCCCCAATCTTACGGTGCCTCTGCGTGTTTTCGTCACTCAGCTGTTCAGCAAGGACCTCGTTATAGATGGACGTCACGTAGGACGAGTCATCGGACACAAATGACTCAGAGTGGACGCTGGAGTGGGACGTCACGGTAGAGTGCATAAGCGACAATCCCCCAGTTCCACCCCCCACTCCTGCTCCAGAGCCATTTTTTGGAACAGGCGGCATGATGAGCGTGTTGGTAGAGGTGCTGGTTAGGTTGTATGCGGATACAGCCATGTCCACTCCCTCGCGCTGAGGGATGTGCCGCGACAAGCGAACGGGTGGAGCATCATCTTCCACTGGAGAGCGGAGAAGAATCTGCAGCGTGTTCGCCGAGACCTCTTGCAATGACATGGTGCCGCTGGTACGCGTACGTCGTTTGCCGGAGGGTCGTCCGGAGGGAGTAGAGTCTAAATCTGTATGTGCCCACTGCCGCATCTCTGCCGTCCCGTGTCTCTATTTTTCTCTCGATAAGTTTTTTCTCTCCGCTCCCCCGTGTCAACAACACCAAACACAAATGACGTTAAAAAAAAAAAAAAGGACAAAAGGACAAAACCGCATTCCCCTCACACAACAAACCCACCGTCAATGTGCCAGTGCCCCAAGACTCCTCCACAAACATATATATATATATATATCACAAAACCTGTCTTTTCTGTCCCGGTTCCATCTCTCTCTTTCGTTTGCGGGCCCTCTCACTGAGAGATCGACCGGGGAGGGGCAATGGGATTGAATATATCACGGCGGAGGGCGCGCTGCCGTCCATCAAAATATAGGCAAAGGTGTCGCATGAGATGATACATTTCCCCGTCACCACCAGCCAGCAAGCTCTCAGAAAAGAAAGGGAATATTTCCCAGTAATAATCAGGCGGCACAAAAAAACCCAACCGCGCAAGCAAAACTACTGCAAGCGCATCCCCAGATAGAATAGAAACCAGCACGGGCTTTGCTGAATGTGTTAACATGTTTTTCACAGGGTGCAAAGGACGATCATCACGGTACTCGAAGAAATGCACAAACTGTTCAAACTGCGTATGACGCTTTTTCCATCGTTTCGAAATCTCTGTAAATATCCGGGTGCGACTGTCGCGGATCCAGTCAAACTTCAGCATAGAGTTAAGAGCTTGCCATTGCTCATGCGCAGTGACATTAGGAAGAGGAAGGTGATACCCCTCACCGCAGAG